AGCCATGGAACCAACACAATCACTCACACTGAGTCTACAACCCAGTCATCATCAAGCCAAATGGTGACAGATAGACCCAACATCATGCGCAACATCAAGAACTTCTTTGGTTTGTAATAAACAACAACAATTATTACCCGTTTATGTCTATCTATCAGTCATTGTCCTATGAATTTGACCCATAAAGAAATTACCCCCCGAAATTCTTGTTACCTCAGGTGGGTGTTATCTCTTCACAAGTGTGACACATACATTTATCTCTGTCACAATTATATCTTCAATTCACTGTACATACATTATCAATCAAAAGATGAACAATCCGTCAACATCAACGACTTCAACAACTACACAGCAGGACCCCGTTAAGCAGATGCGAAAATGGATCGCACAGCAGACAACACTCACTATTGAGGAGAGAGATACAGCCGTCAAATATCTCAATCAACATCACACAGACATACTTTATGACACTAGTGATAAGATCAAGTACATCAGAGAGAACCTCCTTCAGCCAACGAGTAAGTACTTACATAACAACAATAACGTATCGTCGCACCTGATGTCTTCATTCAATACTAACATACACACACTTGACTTGATTCGCATACATATAATTCGTCTCAGCACAGGTTGTCACCGACATTAGAAAATATAGTCTTAAAGACATTAAGTGCGCTGACTATCCATTTCTGTTGCGAGATAACTACAAGAAGCTCGTAGTTGAGAACGCATTCAATAACTATACACATCGTGGAGGCGATACAACTCAGAAGCACAAGTTCATCTTTATCACTGGCGACTCTGGCATTGGAAAGACTCGAGCAGGATTCGAAGCATCACGCATCATTGACATTGAGCCCAAGTACACTGATACAGAGTTCATCAATGCAATCAAGGACCCAGTCTACCTCTATCTCAACCTCTCCAGTGGCTGCAAATTCAACTACATTCTGGACAGCCCGCACCTCCAGGAGGGGATCGGACTTGGCGTTCGCGTTGCCTACTCCAGCGGCATGTACGGGGATCTGAACAAAAAGCCCTTCGACTCAATCGACGAGATCATCATGGGCGGATACCAACACGAGCTCAGCTTTACGCGCGTCATCGAGGACATTGTAAAGATGTCCAAAAAGAAACTCCTGCGATCATTCTCCACTTTGACGAGTTCCAAGAGTACATCACCCAACACAACCATCGCGTCTCTCCATCGGGAGGCGGAGGCAACTCTCTCAAGAACATGCTCGCCATCATCGGACAATACATGCAGAGTCGCAATCATTGCTTCATCATCCCAAAATGCACGGGCACCTCTGACAATGGCGTTGACTTTATGAAGTCTGGATATGGCAACACCTCGATCATTCTCAAGCCACTGACACTCAAGTCGTGTGAAAAGATCATCAAGAAGGTCTACGACAAGGATTCACCTCAGGTCAGACTCCTTGACGACCTTTCATTCCAGATTGCCATCTCTGACACTGGCTGCATCCCAAAAGACTTGAACTACCTATTGGACAAGGTATATTCGGATGACTATTCCGAACTGTGCTATCGAGATATCTCTGCTCTCAACCGTGCACAGGATCAAGATCCTAATGACCTGTACTTTCTTTGTTCAAGGGCCATTGTCAACGCCCCGATCACGTTGACCACCGTACTTCTAAGTGGCAAGACGATCAATGACATGCGAATCAGAGGCTTCATCTACTTGGTCCCGCTCTCGGACAGCTCAGTGAATGTGAATGAATCGGAAAACATCACAGAGGTTCGATTCTTCCGCATCTACTTGTCTTTCTACAATCTCAAAAGCTTCAACCTTAAGAGCAGTCCTCAATGCTTCCCCGACGGCCTCCTTCTGCTGCCAACCAAGCTACTGCAATGGCAATGGCAACACTTTGAGAAGCTCTATCCATTCGTCCAACTTTGTCTATTTGATGCTATTCAGCCCAAGACCATCAAGTCGGTCTTCAGAGGTGTTGAGGGGCTTGACCAACTTAGCCACAGCGCCATCACAGGATATCCAGACAGAGTAAGTATTGGGCGCACTCTCGGCTTCATCGTTGTCGCATACACATCACTAACCATTGAACGCATACCCAGGTCTTAGAAGAATCTAAAAAATCCGATCGTTGGCTGACTTACACTCATGGCAATTACAAGCATCATTTGCAAACCTGCCGTGATATAGTGATTTGCCATCAGAATGAGCCAATCATCGACCATCGCTTTGCAGTCAAGCTCGGTGAGAAGACGGTCTTTGTGTTTATTCAGGCCAAGCACTCAAAGCCCGATGTCGAGGATCCAAACTTGGACGACCCATACAAGCTCATGCTTGGGTCCAAGAAACTCTTTAATCAAGTTGACACAGAGGTCCAAGAAGATGGGATCAACAACTCGGCGCTGGTCTATCTTCTTGTCACCAACCGATTGACTACAAACTGCGATCTGATTACAGAGTTCAACGACAGGAAGGCAGGCTGGCAGCTCAATGACAGACATTACTTTGGTGTGTGGATAACTCATCGCCGCTGGCTTCGCAACATTCCGGAGCTGGCGCTCCTTCATTTCATTCTTCCAAACTCTCCGCTCTATAGTTTTATACACTCTTCTTCTTTTAAAAAAGGTATCTGTATCAATAATCAATGTAGAATTGTAGTAGAAATAGAGTTTAGAAGTTCAAAATATTAGAAATAATAACCTTTAATAAATTCAAGGGCGATATCTCAATTCTACCTACAATTCTACTTTCGATACCTGTTAGCGCTGTAACAGTTTGCACGTCCGAGAGAGTTACCAGGAGAGTTGTCTCAACACGTTGGTCAGCCGTAGTTCCGAGTTCACCGAGTGTGGTTGGTGCGTGGTTTGTATTGTTTATTGATGCTGGATTTCGCCAATGAGACCAGTGTGAGCAAAGTAGGAGGCATAATCTCGGAAGTTGTTGTCCGCAACCAGAACCATGTTCTTGAGGAACTTGCGATGGACTTGGCTTGAATATTGGCCTCCAGTAGGTGTGCTTTGGGTCGTCTCAATAGTGAACTCCTCAAAGCCATTGTCCACAGCATACAAAATCTCATTGTAGTTGACAAGATGTTTGTTGGAGACTGCAACAAAGATTTGCAAGGTGCTTTTGGTCTTCTTGTAGAATACTTTGTGAGCAGTGTCTGTGACCTTGCGGTACTCTACACCGTTAAGAGTACCAATATCCAGGAGTGTTGATGGTGCCTCTCCAATACTGACAGCCAGACTGGACTTGTACTGGATTAGCTCCAAATGGGGAGGTTCATTGGGCGTGGGAGAGGGGGAGGACAAAATGCTGTCAAACGAGGGTGCCATTGGAACATTGGAGACAATGTATGAGCTCTGGGTTGGTAGGACTTGTATTAGTTTTATATGCACAAGCCAGAGAAACTAAGGCATACCTTGGTGATATCGATGGTGGTGTCTGACCCAATGATGGAAATGCACAGTGGGTCCATTAGGTGGACAGAGTCATGAGATGATGAACTCCCTTTTGCTTGCACTATTGAGAGGCGGGAAATTGGTACCACCATGTCCAAAGTGTCTTTGAAAGCTATTGCATGTGGATATAGCTCTCGGATGGTGGCACTTTGCTTTCCCAAGCCGACCAACAAGTTTTGTCGCAGAGCGCGAATAGAGTCGCAAACTCTTTGGAATGCACGGTCGTCAACTAGTTTGGTGAAGTCCAAGTGTTCGTCGTCGATTGCCATGACGTGTTGATTAATCACACGAATGAGGACCATAGGAGTGATGATCTGATATTTGAATAGGTCGTCTGGTCCACCAAGAATCAAGATCCCAGTAGTTCTCGCCTTGTTGATTGTGATTCCATTCAACTTGTCTGTAAGAGACACACGATGTCCAGCGAGTGACCAAAGTAGCATTCTTCGGAGACCTTCAGACGAGTGTCCTAATGCTCCTGTCCAACGTTCGATCGAATAGATACTCTTGATGCGATCCAATACATGCTTGAAGAACAACGAGAACATCTTATGGTGGTCTGCTTCGAAAGGCAGCTCCCAGCCAGAAACAACATCAACAAAGATCTGCAAGAAACGAGGCACTCCACCAAGGTCGTGAACTGATATGTTGACAAGTTTTCCACACTGCTGGAGCAGTTGGCAGAGTAAACTGTCGCTTTGAGATGCCTCCTGTGTTCCATTGATGATCTCGAGCATTTGAGTAGCTGTGAGTGGACTAAGAAGGATGGAAGTATAGCCGAGCTGCGATAAGAGTACCGACTCCTCTCCGAGGGTCGTGTTGGTGCCAGTGAGCATCGGAATGATACAGATGCCGAGAGAGTGTTCCGTTGACATATAGTCAGAGAGCTGTTTGATCATGTCATGTAAACATGCTTGATCAGTACTACTGAACTCGTCAAACTGTATCGAAATGTATATGGGGATTTTGTCGTTGCCTTGGGTAGTTCTGTTGAAGAGCTCTCGAATGAGCCCCATAACATTGGTCAAAGTAAAGAGTTCGATCTCTTGACTGGACAAGTTGACAGTGTCCCTGAACTTTGACAGTCCAATGCCAAAGAAGAAGTGTATTGCGATTCGAATGCCCAACAACACTGATGCAACATTGTGGTGCAAAAGCTCGTACTGTTTGATGACGTCGGCTGCGAAGAGCTCGAGAAAGATATTGGCAATGGCACCTGGGACACCAGCAGCGGGAATGATTGATGGCAGAGTCTGTGCAAACTCGTATCCAACTCTTGACTTGCCAATTCCAAAACCCCCATGCACAACTGGGCATCTGTAGGACTGAGGTGCTCTCTCCTGTTTTTGGAATGCCTTGATATTCTGTTTCGCCGAGTTGATCAATTGAGAGAGCTCTGACTCACGTCCAACAAAGGGAAACTCGAGGGATACCTTGGGTACCTCAGGCACCTCCATAACGTTCTTCCAAGTGGGTTGAGATTGGTAAATCCTTTCAATGAGGCTAAGTAGAGTAACTGAAAGGTCCAAGTAGGAGGAAATGAGAAGTAGAGTCAGTATCGAACACATCACTCGCTCTCATTAGTACTTACGCGCTTGGCCACCACCTCCTCCTGCAGCACCGGCTTGAGTGTGTATGTTAGTATTGAATGAAGACATTGCGCCGATGTTGTTTGTACTTACGAGCTGGGGGAAGATGCGCACGAACAATTGCCCGAGGGCCCATGGGTGGGATCAGTTCTTTCCAATCGCTGTCACTGAGTCCTTGCAGGGATTTGATTGTGAGACCTTGCTTCTTGATGGCCTCCACAGTGTCCTTGCGGAAATCTTTGGGTATCTCTGACTCATCAGACAGTATCCAATTGAAGAGGTCGTCCATTGTCAAATGGGAAGAGAATATACAGAGCGAGTATAAGTTAATTGAGAGGTAGTTGTAATAGTAGTTGTTGGTGTTGTGTGAATAATGAATGAGTGAGCATCGATGTGCCTTGTGTGTTGGTGGTGATTATGATCTGCATCTCCCATTTAGGAAACTCATAAATAAATTAAATCATATAAAACAATTTATCTCTAACAGATATAACATGTCATTATTCAAAGAGTACTATTGGGACGACAACTCGGAGTTCAGAGATCGTCACAAAGCTTACATCAAACAAAAGGTAAGATGCGAATGCGGCTTCGAAGTTGGTCGCACCAATCTCAATCGACACAAGAAAGGCTACATCCACAAGCAGTTGATGGCCAACAAATAGGTTCAAAGTGATATAAATTAACATCTCAGTGTTAATATATAGAATGAGTAGATCAACAAGAGACATTGGAGGCAGACTGAAGAAGACGGGCGTGACTGAGATCAAGCTCACCGGTAACTACAGCCGAGCAGACATCGAACGAATCGCTCAGCGGGACAGCAACACTCTCCAACGATACGCCGCCAACGCAAGGATAGAGGTCGTGCTCGACTACGGCAATCATCAGTATCGATCGGGCAAGTTCACCAAGGTAGGCGAGCCCATCATCATGTTTGATCCTCACGAGTATGACGGAGCACCGATCGCAGAGCCTGACACATTTAAATGGTTCTACATCTACGTTCATCAAGCAAAGGGCAAGGCAGGCGGCTGCGACGGCGAATGGAACAACTGCCTCTACTACTGCCTCCACGACGCCTATCCAGAGCAGGTCACAGAGCACTTTGGCAGGCCATCACGACTCAAGAAGTTCCTCGACCTTGATGTCGATCAGAAGGTCTCTATCAAGCGGATCCCAGAACTCGAGGAGAGACTCAACATCAAAATCAACGTCAAAGGTGATCACTGCTATGCATCCACCTCGAGGGCAACCAGAGAGGTCAACCTAATACTAACAAAAGGACACTACAAACTAGACAAGGAAGGTACCTATGCAGGCAAGGGCATCAGATACACTCGACACAACGAGAGGGACGTCTACATCAAGCCAATCGTTTTCAAGTACCTCAAGGGCGAACAGGTCCAGCTCTATGATGACGGCGAGTACATGACCATCAGCCTGGAACATTTTATCAACAAGAAGAGACGCAAGTACCAAGACAAGTGCGAGTACATCCGCATCCTCTCAGGAATGACCCTGGAGGAGACATTGGACTCGTTCAAGGCCGACGCCGACGCGCTCAAGGAAGGTACTAACGGTATCATCGACATGTACACAACAGGACAGAACATCAACAAGGCAGCGATCAAACTGTTTATATCATACAACAAGACAGTCAAGCCAGAGCCAATCGATCAGAAGGAGGGCGAGTGGATATCCAAGTCAACCTTTGGCGCATTGATGTTTTCCATCCAGCATACAGGAGGTCTCTACATGTATGACGTCTGCAAGATGTATGGTGCGATCATGAAGAGCGGCGGCTTCATGATCCCAATCAAGTGTGGCGAGTTCCAACAACTGACCGACGAAGAGCTGAGCGCAATGAAATCAATACCATTCGGTATCTATCGCGCAACGATCAACGGCAAGCACGGAGCATTCAAGATTAACAAGAAGGATTACTACACTCACTACGACCTAATCTTTGCTAAGGAGCTAGGACTGACATTCAACTTGAAGACCGGCAACAAGGCCAACGCATTGTTATACGATAGCACATGCAGGATCAATGGCTCCATTCTTTTTGGCAAGTACATGGATCAGGTGCTCGCCTGGATCAAGGCAGGAGTCCCACGATCAAAGGAACTCTATCAACGACTCTGGGGCGCTCTCTCCAAGCGCAACAAGACCAAGCAGTGCGTCAATATGGAGTGCGATGAAGAAGTGATAGAGACCAGCGATGGACAGAGAACGATCAAGAACATTGATATCAACGTCGACGAGGACTACTCAATCGATCACATCACTCCAACAGCCAATGGCAGCGCGATGATCAAGTCGGCCTGCAACACCGACATGTTCGATACGCCATTCGCTCGGATCATGCCATTCATCATCTCTCGTGGTCGCAAGATGATTGGAACGATAATAAAGGACGACATTGACTGCATCAAGCGCGTTCACACTGGATTCGTCTCGACCAAACCATGGACAGTCAAGACTGGCAAGAAATCGCTCGACTACCCCAAGTTGGGCACCGAGTGTGGCGACCTGCGATACGAGGGCTACTGTCCCGACGCAATCGTCAAGAACATGACCAAGCCAGTTGGATCGTTCGCCATTGGAATATGGCAAACAGAAGGCTGTTAATATAATCTCTACTTCCATCATTATGGACGCAGAGATGAAGACGCCGGCCTTCATCGGCAGCTACTACCATCGACAGGAGCGGCAGCAACATCAACAAGTCGTACATGCAGCGCTACTACGAGGAGTACAAAGAGGAGATCAAGGCCTACAACACAGAGAGGATACCGTGCGCTGTCTGCGGCAAGTTGATCTCGCGACACTTGATGAGGAAGCACGAGAGGAGGATGCATTGATCATTGGAGAGACAAAGAATGATGTTTATTGGCAATGTCTGTGGATCAGGAAAAGAGGCTGCTTGAGCACGAGGGGCTGAGCACTGGGTAATGGGGACCTGTGGTGGATGGACTTGGCAAGGTTGAGGTCTTGGGACGGCACAAGAGATGGCGACGCAGAACTAGTGCATGTTTGCTCCATCGATGTTGAGTCTCTCAACCATCAAAGATCTGAGCTTCTCGGTGGCCACAATGATCTTGGCATCCAGAACAGTGGTCGGCTTCAGAACCAAGAACCTCTCTAGCATTGCACCAAGAACGTTGACGTCATTGTCAAGAGCGAGTTCTTGACCTTGGGCTACGGGAGCCTCGGCAAGAGCGAGTTCTTGACCTTGGACTGGGACAGGGACTGCCTGGGGTGGTGGGAGGACAACTGCCTGTGCATTGACCAAGTTTGCGAGCAAGTTGTGATTCTGGTGTTGGTGTTGCACATTGGAGTAGGCTCTGAAGTACGTCGGATTGTAGGTCGGTGAGTTGGTTCCTTGCGCTCCTGGTTGGCGTGTGCCATTGAATTGGTTGCCTGATCCGCCATTGAGAGATCGATAACGAATCACAGAACCGTTTCTTGTGTCAACGATCCATGTTGGCCTGACTGGGTTGGGCCCTCTAGCACGGTCAGGGACCCAATCTAGAATCACCTCATAGTTGTCAGCTAGTTCTTGGGCAGATGGAAATACAACTTTGTCAGCGGTCGAACAGCATGGGTACTGGACTGCTAGAGTTGGACATCTCGAGGAACTCGCTCAAATTGTACCGGCTGTCAAGGAAACACGGGATGCTTATTACAAGAGTATCTCCCTTGAGCAGGGTCTTGAGCGCCATATCCACCCTAACGTATGGGCTGGAATGGAAACGTCATCTGAGGTTACCCATGACCTCCGATCCACAATCCTTGTGTCACCGGACGTGAAGATGACATAGTGTTGTATTTGTTGTTATGATTAAGGGGCATTCGGTGCCTCATAATTATTTCTTTCGCTGCTACACGTTCCGCAATCACTCTCCCTTAGTCTACTGGTCTAGAGCACATCAGAAGCGCGCAACATTTAACTCCGTGTTTATCAACACGATACAGCCAACAAAGGACCATTATCACAAATAACCAAACTTCTTGTATCTCTCTCTCATCTCTCTCGCTGCCTTCTCCTCCCTCCTCACATCACTGTAGCCAGTCGCCTCTTTGAACGGCACGCCGCGAAATCTGTTCAACAGGAAGCGCATGGCATGGTATCCGCAGGTGTCGGTGTTGACTGCCTGATCCACAATCTTGTTGACTTTGAACTTGAGATACACGTCTGGGTCGATCTCAGCAACCAGCTGCTTCATTCGCCGCAGGAAGTCAGTGCTCGGGTCATCACCAAACGAGTCGTAGTACTCGATCGACTTGTCGCCCTTAGCATCAATGTAACAAGTTACCCAGTGACTGCCCGGCTGACTGCTCTTGTCGAGATTCATTATGAACGACATGTGCTTGGGCTTCAGCTCATCCAGTTGATCACTCGCGATGACGCCCTCAAACCCATCCTTGGCGTATGGCTGCATCAACTTGTCGATATCGTAGTCGTAGAGGCCGCCATGCTTGCGCCCGCTACCTTTCTTCATTCCCTTAACGTCATTATAAATAGAGTCCATCCAATTCTGTCTTTCGCTGTGGCCCTTGAACACCTTCTTCAACTCATTGTACAGCTGTTGTGAGGCGATGTCGCTGTCGTAGTATTGCTTGACCAACTCCAACACCTGTGGTGCCAGTGATGTTGGATCGGTTTGAGCGAGTCCATTGCCTGTAGTCTCGCCATCGTGCCAGCTTCTGATATCAGTTCTCTCTTGAGTTTATTTCTCTCCTCATAGGGCACGTTCTTCAAGTCCTTCCCAAGGTCATAGTTGAGGTTATTGATTGGGTATCCTGTGTCCAAGTAGTGCTGCACTGATGCCATGACCTTTGGAGTCAAGTCTGCTGGTATCGCCTTTGTTGCCTTGAGACTAGAGGACGTGATCGAGACTCTCCTGTTGTTGTTGTTATTGTTATTGTTGTTGTTGACCGCAGTGCTTGTTGTTGAGGTGGTTGTCGTGGTTGTTGATGTTGTTGGATGTGGAGGCGTACTGTAAGGAGAGGGCTCATCAACCTTCTCAGTCTTTACCTTGTGAATGGTGCTGGGCACTGGCTTTTTGAGTCGTGATGGTTGCTTGACTGCTGCTGCTGTTGCGATGATCTCAACTGCTCTCATGTCCTCAGCGACCTTCTTCTTTTGGCGCTCTGCTTCCTTGATTGCTTGCTCGTATTGTTGTTCAGCATCGACCTCGATTTGGAGCTTGATCAGATCTGTTCGTCAATGTATTGCAATCGGTCTGCGTCGAATGGCTCCTGCTTGCCGAGTGCCTTCTTCTCTGCTAATAGACTGTGGAGTTTGGTCATCATGTTAGCCTTTTGTCGTTTATGCTCGAGCTCCAACCTCGTCATCTCCAATCCATACATCATCTCTTCCATGGCCTCGGCCTTCTCGAATCGCTCGATGTCTTGATGGAATCGTTTGTTGAGTGACTGCTTGATGTCCTGTATGCTGGCATGGGTCTGCTCAACGAGGCCATGAGTTGCGTTCTGCCTTTCGATCAGTCGGTCGTAGTTGTTGTGCTCAGGCTCCTCGTCGTTCACTGCCACTCCCTCAACCTCCTCGCGGGGCAGTCTCGCCACACCCTCGTCGATCTCCTCAACAATATCAACCAAACAAATAATCCCACAACAACATAATTAATTAATCAATCAATCTTTTAAAGATAATAAAGGTCAGGTTTATCTTTGATCTACAAACACCTATTCAGTTCACTGAACTGATCTATTATACCTGTTGTATTGATGCACTCATTAGGATGTTTATCTTTATATTACCTAAGATCAACCTTAGGTGCGATCTATCGGAGCATTGCATTCATGGCATTCTCCATCTGGAGGAAGGTGAAGATGAATCGACAACAGTATCAATCAATCCAAAATGTATTATTTAATAAACAAATAGAGTAGTTATCTTGTCCGGGCTTAAACCTCCAACATCACATGATTGTGTCAAGCGATGTTTGTCTCAGCCCATTATTACCGCCCGAATTCAATCAAAATGGTCCAACCAAGGCCAGGTCCGATGCATCACCATTGTTTGAAAATCATGTGGACCAATCATCAGATCAGCTCAACAAGAACTCATTCAATCAATCAATCACTACTACTAGACAGAATGAAAGAGATAATGAAACATCTGTTTATTGCTATTATTATATCTGTTGTTCAGTTGACATGTTTAGTGCACTGTGATGCACTCAATAACTTGTATATATATGTTGATCCGACATCAAAGTACAACGAGACACTATGTGGATTATCAACAAACATCTCATGTCCAACGATACAGGATTCATTTAACTCATACTACTCTATCAAACCTCAACCTCAAGACACGATGTTGAACATCATCCTCACACCAGGATAGTACTTCAATACGGTCGATAGAAGGAGTGGAGCTCTGATCTACCAGGGAACCAATGTCACCATTGTATCAGAGTTTGAGGACCAACCTGCTGAGATCATTCTTGATGGTGGAGCATTCCTATTGAACTATCCCTCATCATTCAATTATTTCATTCCATTCACATCGGTCAACCTTGTCAACATCAACATCAATGGAGGCGGCAACTCAAACTACGCCAATCTCATTCTTTCATATAACGGCTACCCAATCAATGTCACACTCAACGGTGTCAATGTATACAACACCTCCACACCCTGTGTATTTGAATTCCTAACCTCAGAGAATGGAACATTGTACGGCCTGTCGTGAGTACTCATGTCCGACCAAACGTCAACTTCCAAAACATCTCGGATGGATCATTGCAGGATCAGTGCTTGGATTCATCTTTGTATCATTCATGGCATTCTCCATCTGGAGGAAGGTGAAGATGAATCGACAACAATACCAATCAATACAATAAATTGTAATAAAGCATGATATACTCGAAAAGAACAAGCGATCCATTCATGCCAATGAAGAAGGTTGATAGGTATTGTTGTCTATTTTGGAATTCAGGATGGGATGGTTCCAATAGGGGTATGATTCTCATTCAATGATCACTCACAAAGGCTTTCATTTGAGCTTCATTCAATCATTCACAACTTATAATAGATATATACATACATATTATTTGTATCTCCTGATATACTCTTTAGAAAATGATATAATATAACACTACATTCTCTACACCAGCTACATCTACAACAGTCATCTCCAAACGACATAGCCAAAGCGTTACTCATCATTGCCGATGATATTACAGTTGTTGAATGACAACAAAGCACTTACTGCAGTACATGACCGCGAGTATCTATGTTGTTTGTTGTTGCACTTTGTGATGATTATAAACATTACGGACATGTATCTTCTTCAACGGCAACATCAACAATATCATAGATACTATAGAGGTTCATGTGACTGATGGAATGTTGAGAAGCGCATCATTTGACAAGCGAGGACTGAAGACATGCTACGTAGGCATCGTCGACAAGCGCCGCATAGAGGCAGCGTGAACGTATGTCCTCGGTCGGATCGCTGGGTCTTAATCAATGACAGTTGCAATCAATCATGACTAGTATCTCAATAAACAGGAGGACATTAACAAAGAGGCGATGTTGATAGTGATGGAGGACAAGCAAGCTTGTCCTTCATAATGCAAGACAATTTATTGATTGTCAAGCAGGAATAGGGATGATAATGGCCAATGCTACAATGGTCATGCACAGAAATCTTGGTTGAAGAAGTCGTCGACGACGCAAAGGACATAGCCGGTGGTGTCAGCTGGCTGGAAGTTGAGGTATGCACCGTTCTGAGAGTTGGTGGACCAGATCTTCACGATGGTGACGTCTGACGTGAACAGGTGTTGGTACAGGCCAAATATGCAGAAGTCACCATCTTGGAACTCGGCGTAGAACGAGAGGTACTGGTAATCGGTCGCGGGAACTGGTGCAGGGTTTGATGTCCACTCTGTTACATTGTTCACAGCGTCCACTACCTCCAAGTATCCATTGTAGGTTAATTGGAGAGTGAAGTTGTTGGCAATGAGTTTGTCACTCTGAGACAAGGAGCTGGGGCAGAGTCGTCCGGTGGCATCCACACAGCCATTGGGATTCAAAACAGAGATATGGGTGTAGCTGATAGGGTAGTTGGTCTATGATCGTAGTACAATGTGTTAGTGTGAATGTCCTCTTCTGGAGATGTCTATAAGGTTTAACCAACTACATACAAATGTCCAAAGGAATGTGTTGTCCGTTGGGTCACAAACAGTCCATGCATACATATAGCCTACAGTAGTTGCTTGCAGACAATAACTTCCCATCCTGATCATATATTCTCCATTTGTGGTATTGGTCTCAATGAACTCCAAACCCGCCGATGGAGTATAGTTGTCATCAATGAAGAACCAAAGTGGTATACTGGAGTCTGGCTTCATGATCTGGGCTCCATAGTCAGTAACCGGGAAGCTCCAAGTTAAAGAACCATTGACCAAGAGATCATTAGTGCAATCGGACATCATAACCACCCCACTAACCAACTCGACAAGACAAGTTTGTGTGTTCACATTCTTAATTGTTCCAGAGCTCTGAGAATTGAATGAATGAATGTTAGTGATTACTTGTTACAAGTTTCGACTTGACCTTAGTGTACTTACAATAGGAGGATTAGACTTTGGAATCTCGGCAAAGATGTAGGAGAAGGCACTAATAGTGTTGAGTCGAGGGCAATAGTTGATGGGGTATGCATATGAATAGGGGATGACAAATGAGGCGTTGTAAGCACCGGCGAGATAATATCCAGGAGGGATATCGATTCGATGTGGACCTCCACCAGAGTCGGCAGCAAACACTTGACTGTCAACTCCATTGCTGTAGTTGAATTGTACTTGGTCTACATAGTCTCCGGTGTGTGCCAACAAGCTGATTATGGGAGGGTAGTCTGAGGTGGATCCTAGATTCCTGGTACCTCGAGATCCTTGAAGGAGCGAGTTGGACCCATTGAACATCTCAATGCCAGCTATTCCAACAAAGGTTGCCCTCTTGTTAAAACAATTGGGTGTGGGACGGACACGATCACAGAAGTTACAGTTGATGTACTGGTGGTTTCCATAAACTTTGGAGGAAGTTGGGTTCAAAACTGTGTTGGCTCGTTGCCAAGACAATGAACGAGGGTCTGGAAGAGGTGTTGATGCTTGCACTACTGGGTCACCCATGGAAGAGGGTCCATTGTACCCACCAGAGAGAGGAGAAACGATGAATGATTGAGTTTTGGATGGAGGTCCATTCGGATACGAGATGGGATCTAGGTAGTTCCAGAAGAAACTCAGGTCGAGGGAGGGTATGTGAGCCACCATGTAGTTTGCCACGGCATTGTATTGATCCTCAGTCAGAGTTGCTCCATCCATGTATGGAGGGATCCCAAAGCTTTCACATCCTAGCTCATGGATAGTGAGGAAGAGATCAGAAACATAGTTGGTGGCTTCCTGTGACAAACTTCTAAGTTTCTCCCTTTGGGTATTGATCCAATGTGGGTCCCAGTTACCAGTGTTTGCAATCTTCAAAACATGATTGTACAAAGATAAGAGCAATGTACTGTGATGGGCATAGAGTGTGAGATACACACTAGAAATGTTACAGTTGTTGGGAGACTGGAAGTGGACTGAATTTCCTATCATTTGAAAAGAATTAGATTCGAAGGAGAGTTGGATGCTTTGGGGATCTCCAGAGAGAGAGTTAAGAAAATTCTGAACATTCAACTGATCCAAGACAAGAAATGATTGGGCGTTGTTTAAATATGAACACAATTCTGCCTGATTGAAGAGCTGATCGAGGTAGGTAATGATGGCCGTGGTCACCATTTGATCTCCATTAGGCCATAAAATATCGAATAATCCTTCGACAATACCACCAACAGTGGGAATTAATGCCACATTATCACTTATGATCTTTCCAAAATTGGATAAGGAGTTTTGGGCAATTCTGAAAGCATAAAAAAATAAAAAAATATATAAATAATAAAAATATTGTTAATATTATTTTAACTTTCCAAAAATGATTGAAAATTGGGCACTTACTCCGCATTGACGATAGGTCCAAAATTATTGTCAAACGAACAAGCTGCCAATGAATGAGAGACAAGGGCAATCAAAACAAAGAGACTGTAAATACTTATATTTGTTGTAGTAACCATATCTAGTAAATTAATGAATGAATGAATAATCAATCAACTCTCTTTTAATATGAACTAGTATTAGTTCTTCTAACTTGAAGAAAAAAGTGGTATTGATACTATTATCCCTCTGGATATAGATTAGAAGATTCTTTTGATGGGGATCAAATCATTTGAAGAGTAGGAGATCTCCAAGTACGAAATAGAGAGTCAAGCCTTTATTCAATCAAAATCATCTCTAGGTTGAATCAATAGCAGGGAAGTGCACTATTCCTAAAAGAATATCCACTCGTGAATGTCATAGAGATTGGGCATAACTATATTCCCATTGAATATGATTTTGGTAGCCAGGTTACTTGACTACTGGGAGTTTCCAAGCACAGTACGCGTTGCGCAAACAAATGTCATCTTTTGATAACACATACATACCGAGATTGTGGACAACGAGCGTTTGATTTTGATTGAGCAACCAAGGTGGGTTATAGAATGGAGGCCTCCATTTGGGAACTTTTGGCCCAAAGGTGCTTTGAAATATCTGCCCAACACAACTATTGTCCAATCACACAGACCAAAATTCAGGGCGAATCAAAAAGTCCTTCCATGAACCTGATTGTTGAAGTTACCCCAATTGGTGGCCAATCTACACTTCTACAAGTGATGGTTGGTAGTTTTAAAAAAACTTGGGTTTGATACTCTTATCTCTATGTGATCGGACCTTGCATTATTAAAATAACCAAATATATTTGGAGTAAGAAATATCCTTGGACTTCTTCCTTTGGGTCGGACAACTAGATTGAAATTTATTCATTTTTAAACTTCAAACCAAAACAATGAAAGAGATATTTGTGTTTATAACAATAATTTCTGTGTTGGTGTGCTATGTGCACTGTCAGACACTCAACAACTTGTATATATATGTCGATCCGTCCTCAACATATAACGAGACTTTATGTGGATCATCAGCAAACATCTCATGTCCAACGATACAGGATGCACTCAACTCGTACTACTCAAACAACCCTCAACAAAATGACACGATGGTCAACATCATCCTCGCACCTGGAAAGTACATCAACACTGTCGATAAAGCGAATGGAGCTGAGATCTATCATGGAACCAATGTCACCATTGTATCAGAGTTTGAGGACCAACCTGCTGAGATCATGCTCAACGGTCGAACATTCCTCTTTCATGATGGCATGCTCAATTACGCGCCATTCACATCAGTCAACCTAACAAACATCAACATAAATGGCGGCCACGACCCAAGATTCACTGATCCCCTTCTATTGTTTAACGGCTACGCTAGCCCGATCAATGTCACACTCAACCGAGTCAATGTGTACAACTCCTCTAGTTACACCTTTATGATTGAAATCAATAACTTGGATACTAATATGACACTGTACAACCAGTCATACCTGACCATCACCAACAGCACATTCAAAAACAACGCCAATGTGCTTAGTGTACTCTTCATCGAGGGCATCACAGCATTCATTGACAATTGCACCTTTGACAACAACACCCAATTCGGAGCTTTCAACTTCCCAGTGAGCTCCATTACCGTGACCAACTCCAACTTCTCCAACAACCAACTGGCGACTGAGCTCATGTTCTCGGCCGATCGTGTCGCCCAATTGACAATGGACAACTGTGTGATTGTCAACAACACTGATCATGCGACATTCGAGATCTGCTTGATGCTGTTCCAGAACATTAACTTTACAATGAGCAACACACTCATCATCAACAATGATGTCCAGAATATTATGGCTCACTCAAACTATGATCCACCCAATGTGTTCAACCTGATCAATGTCACAGTAAGTGGTGGACTGCAGACAGACCAGCCATTCATCGATCTTGTCGGTGGCAATATGACCTTTAACAATGTGCACTTGCTGAATGGTCAGCGTCTCCTCAATTGTCCACTCACATGCAAGTTGTTGAGTGGTGAGTTCTCATGTCCGACCAAACACCAGCTTCCCAAACATCTCGGATGGATCATTGCCGGATCAGTGCTTGGATTCATCTTTGTTGCGTTCATGGCATTCTTCATCTGGAGGAAGGTGAAGATGAATCGACAACAGTATCAATCAATACAATAGATTGTATTATTTGTTAATAAACAAACGTCCTGTCTGGAACCCTCAAACATTGTGTGATCAAATGGATGGGTCACAGCCCATTATTCAAGCCCGTATTCAATCATAATGGTCCAACCAAGGCCATGTCCGATTCATCACCATTGTTGAGAATCATGCCCGACCAATCAAATGATCACCTCAACAAGCACTCATTCAATCAATCAAACAATCACTCACTCATTCTTGAGTAATACAAGATATAATGAAAGAGATAAATATATTTCTGTTTATTATTATTATTGTACTCTTTGTTCAGATGACATGCTTTGTTCAAGGTCAGACACTCAATAACTTCTACATATATGTTGATCCGACATCAACTTATAACGGGTCATTATGTGGATCATCAACAAACAACTCATGTCCAACGATACAGGATGCACTCAACTCATACTACTAAATCAAACCTCAACCTCAAGACACTATGGTGAACATCATCCTTGCACCTGGACAGTACATCAAAAGTGCCGATAGATTAAGTTGTGATCAGATCTTCCATGGTACCAATGTCACCATTGTATCAGAGTTTGAAGACCAACCTGCTGAGATCATGCTAAATGGAGGAGCATTCATCTGTAATGATGGCTCATTCAATCAATCCTCACCATTCACATCGGTCAACATCACAAACATCAACATCAATGGAGGTTACAGCCCACACTACGTCGGCTTCATTCTAATGTTCTTTGGCTACCCGATCAATGTCACACTCAACAATGTCAATGTTTACAACTGCCTTAATGTCCCCTTTTTGATTGAGTTCCAAACATCAGATAATGGAACACTGAGCGACCAATCATACCTGACCATTACCAACAGCACATTCAATAACAACAATGGTGCACTATTTGTACTAAGCATCCGAAGCATCACAGTATTCATAGACAATTGCACCTTTGACAGCAACCTCAAGTTCGGCGGGTTCAACTTCCCAACGAGCACGATCACAATTACCAACTCGATCTTCTCCAACAATCAACTTGCGATGGAGTTGATGTTCTCATGCGAACTAGAGGCCCAATTGACAATGGACAACTGTATGATTGTCAACAACTCTCAGGTGTCATTCCCTCTCAGTTTGATGCTATTCGAGGGTATCAACCTGACGATGAGCAACACACACATCACAATGATGTCCATACGATTGTAGCTCACTCCAACTACCAACCATCTGAATGGACGCCGCCATGTTGCCTCTCCAATGTGTTCAACCTGACCAATGTCACAGTGAGTGGTGGACTGCCGACTGACGATCCGTTCATCACATTGGTCGGTGGCAATATGACCTTTGACAATGTACAGATGCTGAATGGTCAACGTCTCCTAAATTGTCCACTCACATGCAAGTTGTTGAATGGCGATTACTCATGTCCGACCAAACGTCAACTTCCCAAACATCTCGGATGGATCATTGCCGGATCAGTGCTTGGATTCATCTTTGTATCATTCATGGCCTTATCCATCTGGAGGAAGGTGAAGATGAATCGACAACAGTATCAATCAATCCAATAGATTGTATTATTTAATTTCATTCTTTAACGATAATGTCTTGCCTAATGGAATATATATATATTAATGAAAGGAAAATGATTGAATGGTCATTTGAATCAACGAAATTGATCATATCAAAAAATATCTATAAATAGATAGGTGTTTTCAATCAATAATGTTGGTAGTTGTCATTGACCAATAATTTATTTACACTCTCTCTCTCTAACAGAGAATGAACAAGCCTTTATCCTTTGAATGAACATCATTTATCAAACAAATTAACAATATGTTCATTCCATTCATTAATTCACATTCAACCAATCAAACAGATAACCCATTATGAGCTCGCATCTGAAGTGGGGGTTGAGTGGTGTCCAGTCCAATCTCCCCACCACCAACAATGTGCTCGCCTCTATTCTCTGTCACCCCTTCCCCATCAATGGGGGCAAAATAATAAAATTCAAGATGGTTGTGTCACCTTACTTCAGGTCGACTGGCTGACTGACTACTCATCTCCAACCATGCACAAATAGGTCAAACATTTTAGGATTCTTCAGATCCCTTCATTCATTCACTTCATCCCATTCATTCAATCAATCAATCAATCATATAACATAAAATTATAATATATATAAGTAATAAATGGAACAGATAAGGTACAAACCTGCAAGGAGGTACGTTGTACATTTGGATGGTGATCCTGAACATATGTGGGACGAACCTTGTCGTGATTATAGACCAGCGGTGAAGAGGGTCGAAGCACATATCAACAAGATGTACGGCACAAATGTGTTGGTACGATCGCTACAGAGTATGTTGGGCGCGATGGCCTATATGAACTGGGTCAGCTACGCATCAGAGCTGCGCGGCCTGTCTCGCGAGCTAGACGTTCCCGTCGGTGCACTCGTCTTTATGCAGCTGATCTACGAGGTGAGCACCTGCTGCACCACGGCAATGTCTCGCGACCAAGATGGCAACATTGTCATGTCACGCACGATGGATTGGGACATGCTGTTGCTCAAGGACATCACGATCGAAGCCGACTTCCACGTGGGCGGCCGCAGCATTGGAGTGTACACCACGTGGATTGGATACGTGGGTGTGCTCACAGGCATTAGCCCCAAGGGCTTCGCCGTGGCCATCAACTACCGTCGTACTACCGGCGGCTCCTACTGGACCAACGTCAAGCAGTTGCTCAAATACTGCTGGCCCGTCGGATACCTGGTCAGGGAGGCTCTGATCACTTGCCAGACATACGGAGAGATCGTCCAGTTCCTCGGAAACGCAAAGATCATTGCTCCATGCTATATTACAATCGTTGGCAAGCGTGCTGGCACTGTCATGGCTCGCAATCCAACATCTGTGTTCCGTCAGAGTGTGCTGCCATCGACCCACGAGGAGGAAGTCGACCAGCACTTGCATGCCAAGCCAATCCTGGTGACAGATCAGGACTTCCTGGTGCAGACCAACAACGAAGAGGTCAACGACAACGAATACAACTTCCTGTTGTCCAACGAGCGACGATGCTTCACCACCGAGCGACTGGTCGTCCTGGAGCCACACAAGCGAACCGACGACAATCTCTGGAGCATCATGAGTGTGCATCCCGTGCTGAACAATCACACCATCTACGGATGTATCATCAAGCCATCGCAATACTCAATCGAGACTAGAGTCCCTCACGAAGAGTTTGGATTCCTCTAATCAGTCGCATGGGTGCACGCGAGCGCATCTATGATTGATCAATCGAGGGATAAAGAGAGAGTATATCAATGGCCTATCCACAATCAATGTACATTCATTCACAAGCCAATAATACATTCTAAAAGTAGTAGTAGTAGTAGCAACAACAACCCTGTTTATTAGACGTGGCTGATGGCCTGCTGACTGGACGACTGATGATGACTGCCACCACCTGCAGCACTTTGTTCATAGTCTGTGATCTCTTGACGTCGCTCGATGGCTTTGTGTAGGGAGTCCATGATGGGGTTGATGAGGACGGCAAGGTCGACCTTGCCATTCTCCATGAGCTTCTTCTTCCACGTCTCAAGGTTGTCGTAGAACTTGTTGATGTAGCTAGCAAGGTCGCGATTCTTCTTCTTCTGGGCCGCTGTTGGCGGACGACCCAGCATGTTGGGCAGGTAGGCACTGCTCCAAAAGTGTCGCAGCAACTCATTGGCCTTGTTAAAGTTCTTGAACAAGTCCTGTTTGAATCTACTCTCTCGCTGCTGATCCGACTCATTACGCGACTTGTCACTCCTGCATGATGATGCCAATATAATCTCATCCAGTACACTATTGTTCTGTGTCATCGTACGATCAAAGCTGCACCTCCAATTAGCAAGCTCATCTCTAAACAGTTCCTTTAATACAGTGAGGTTCTACACAAGTGGAAGGCACCAAGGTTAGCATGATTGAATGATTGAATGATTGTATGATTGAGTGAGGTGATGGGATGGGATGGATGGGATCATACCTCTTCCTTGTTACGCTCTTTTGAATGGCCTTCAAAGTATCTCCTCTGATCCTGGATCTTGAGCTTGGGCAAGTCTTCAGGTATAATTTGTTCCAAGTCTGGCAAGATAGCATGATCATGTAATATCTTTCGATTGTCCTTCAATATCTTCTCAAACTCCTCTGTGTTCAAATATCTATCTCTATCCTTCTCATTTGGTAATGCTGATGCGCTATATGTGATTGATTGTGTTAGTGAAGGCCTTGGCTTAGGCTTGGGCTTGTGACCTTTGATGGCATACTTGATATCTTTGGCACCAAGTACAAGTGCACTGTGTCTGTTGAACTTTCGAAGTAGTGGCAATGCATTCTTGAGTTTCTCAGGGTCTTGGTTCGGGTCCAATAGCAATCCATAACCATTTGATAAAGGGTCTTCGTCTCCCTCAGCCGACAAATCAACCAAAGGATTGATATCCATCAACTTCTTCTTCAATATCTTGATCTCTACAAGTGCGTGCGTCCAGTGTTCCATTCAAACAAGATTTGATTGAGTGATCAATGAGTCCAGTGATTGGAATGATTCCAGGTTAGCAAGTGAGCATTAATGACCCGATCAATCAATCAATCAATCAATCAAACATACCACTGTCCTCGGTCGTATCGTATGTTGAGAATAGTTCATCGGTTGGTGGATTGCGATCACGGTAATAATACTTGGTCTCGACGTATTTCTTCCAAAAGTCCTTCTCTGAGATCTTGTGAGGGACGTTGCCGCGATAGGCTCGCTCCACTGATGGATGTTGGATGAAGATTTGATTGATGATCGATGGCGTCAGACGATAGCGAACGGCGTTGACCGACTCAGAGGTGGGACGCACGTCCGACAGAATGATGCTGGGCATGCCGACCTGCTGCTTCTCTGGGCGCATCGAATCGTTGTTGAGCATCATCTTGCGTGACTCCCAAAAGTCGGCCTCGCTGATCACGCCGGCGCCCACCAGCGAATCAAACAGCTGCTTCAGTTCATCGTTTGACGAGAGCAGCAGCACACGCTGCTTCACCTCCTCCTCTGTGACTGTGCCGTTGCGGAATGTCTCGGCGACGCGAGGTGGAGGGGGGACGGGTGGCGCGCGGGATCGCTGGGCGGCCGTCGTCGTTGTGGTCGTGCTAGTGGTTGATGTCGCGTTTGCTGCTGGCTTTGCTGATGGCGCTGTCTTGACCACCCTTCCAGCAATATAGTCTCTAAACTTTGTAAGATCATCTCTTGCATTAACCATATGAGTGAATTCAAACAACAAGTCCTGTGTCTTATTCGGATCCTTTGGGTCCTTTATACTAAGTCTAAGCAATGCCTTTGCGCTCTTATTTGTTGATGTATATTGAGCTATTCATCATTCATCATTCATTGATTGTTTGATTAAGTGAGTGAGTCGTTCATTCAATCATTCATTTCATTCAATCAATGACATACTCCTTATCTCTGTGAAGTGACAATGTAGCGAAGGCTCTGAATGACCGACTTGTACCCATACTAGTCTCAGATTCGTACAGAACAGAGTACCTTGCTCCTTTGCAAACTTTGAATCTGCACGGTGTTCTACCAACTCGCCAGGTTCCTTTTTGAATTTCTCCATCAATGTTCTAGTAGTATGTATAACAAAGTAGTAGTTATAAACAATAATATTTATAACTACGTTGTTCTTGTCAACGGGCAAACTACAAGTGATCCCAAAACACCAAATTGGCTTGATCTTCAACTTCTCTCATTTTTCCAAAATGAACCCTGGGTTGGGCACTTCCACTTATTGTTCATTTATCCCTTCATTCATTCATTCATTACCATCTTGAATTCAAGTCATTCATTCAGTTCATTATCTCAAGACAAATATCTATAAGGTCATCAGGCATTGGATAAGAAACAACAACAATAGCAATACAACCAACAAAATGAATACGAGTCCTGCACCTACATCAATTCCAACAGCTACTCCTACAACTGTGACTGCCCCTGCTACACCTGCTACTGCCACGACAACTTCAACTCCAACATCTACCAAACAACATCATCCAGCACGTACTCATTCACAACCACATCATAGAGGTGGAGCAGGAGGCGGGGGCGGAGGAGCCGGAGGCCTCCAACGTCCACAACAACAATCAAATAGACCCAAACAGAACAAAGAACGAGGAGGAGGTGGAGGTGGAGGTGGAGGTGGAGGAACTCCACATAAGCATAAGCAACAACAAGCATCAACTGGTAGACCAAGTGATGCAAGACCAGTCGTCCAGGATGTGTCACATGACAAGGAGTTTGATGCAGAGCTTGAGCTGGCAGTTGCATTGAGTAAGGTTGAGTTTGAGAACCAACAACAACAGCAGAACCAGCAACAACCACATCAACTACAACAACAACAACAAAAGAAGTCAAAGAAGACACAAGTTGACATGACACACTTGATATACACAAAGAAGGATAAACCAACAGCATCATATTACAAGGATTATGGTTCTGGATCTGGATCAGGGCACTCTGGTCAACGCCATCATAACAATAACAACAGTGGCTACAGGTCATCACCATCATCCAACAAGAAGAAGGCATTTGACAACAGTGCCCAACGATCAAACCTATTCCTACAAGCCAAGTAAGTAGTGTTGACTGATTGAGTGATCCAGAGAGATGATCATCTGACACATAGTCAATCATTAGCTATCTGTTCAAAGTCAATGCCTATGGTAACTACAGGTCGAGTCTATCAAGTATGTGATCGAATGATTGATTGAATGTGATTGATCCTAACAATCATGCCCCATCTAGACCCTGACTACATTGCATGCTGGAACAGGATTGAGCAAGTGGAATACCTAACCAAGTCCAGCGAGTTCGTCTGTCCCATCTGTTTCGAGCCACCTGTGGCAGGGTATGTCCTTTCGACTGACTGATTGATCGGCATGATACTAACTCCTTTGGGAACTCATATAGTAAGGTTACCAAGTGTGGACATATTGCATGCTATGGATGTATATTGAGAAGCTTGTATCATAGTAGCAACTGTCCACTTTGTTTGAAACCAATTGACAGGACGGACTTGCGAAGTGTACATATATCAAAGGCGACAAAGTATGTGGAGAATGACCCAATCGAGTTACAACTACTTCGATATCGTGAGGGAACTACTGTGCCATACCTCGCGCAACAGCCCATCCCCTCGCTCATTTCATTCCCCGACGTTGGTCATGCCAACTCGGTGTTCTCTCGTTTCTCGATCATTCATGACATTGGACCAATCACCAAACTGGAGAAAGAGGAGCTGGAGCGCGCAAAGATCATGGCGCACAGAGAGGGCGAGGAAGAGACAGTGCGCTACCTCAGTCGTGCCGAGAGGGAGATTGAAGAGCGCGAGACTGCCTTCAAGAAGATGTCGGAGCAGAAGAGCATGGAGCATGGGCATTCCTCATCGTCGTTGTCCATCCCAACATCATCAATGTCCACATCACCTGGAGAACATTCGTTGGAGTCAGACGCATCAACGGTTGGATCACCAGACTCACTCAAACTAGCACAAGAGTACTTCTACAATCAACTCATGAACAATCAACAAGATGATGATGCGGCCAACACATATACATCAACAACATCAACAACAACTACCTCAACAACAACTTCAACGACATCATCCAACAATCAATCTAACAATCATAGCAACAACAACAACAAACATGTACCACATGATGTGAATGACAAGTTCTCTTACAACAGTCCACCAAACGAAGGATACCATTACTATTATCAATCAATTGATGGACAACCAATCTTCATGCATCCACTATGCATGCAGATCTTGTCAAGAGATGCCTATCTGCGATCACTCCAACAACTAGAGCCTGGCGTCACGCCAACACCACCATCATTACCCGATGTACTCAAGTCCAGGGTACTGGAGATGGAATCATTCGAGATCACAAAGAAGTCACGACACGTCTACAAGGCACTCAACATCTTGGCATTGACCAGTGAGATCAGCTTTGTCGAGATTGATCTGCAGTCGATTGTCCTGCGACAGGCACTGGACGATTTTGCTGGCGAGCTCAAGCATCGACGCGACATCCGCAACAACAAGAAGCGTGAGGAGACTAGGAAGGAGAAGAAGAAGGAGCGTGATAGAGCGATCGATATCAAGCGCTCCAAGGAGATCACGGAGATCTATGAGCGACAGATGGCTGAGGAGCGCGAGCGCAAGAGGATAGAGATGGAGATTGCCGAGCGAGAAGAGGCTGAGCGACTCAAGAACCAGCCTGCGCAGCCCAAGGCACCAAGTTTCCTGGACGCCATAACCAAGTACAAGTCACATGAAGAGGACTTCAAGTTCACATTGAAGGAGTCAACATCATCACGCAAACGACAATGATTAAATGAATAAAGAGGAGAAGATAAGTCCTAAGGACTAGCGAGTGAATGTTTATTGTGGCAACAATGTCATGAGGTCTAGAATGAATAGCATGATCATGTTCGACTTGACCTCGACGATATCCTCCCAAAAGATGATGGTCTGCGAGCCTAGTCTCCTTGCGACGGAGATGACGTACCTTGCGTTGGACTTGTTACTCTCGCCATCGTTTCGCTTCAATACCAACGAGTAGTCAATGCATCCTTTGCTCAAGGAGTTGAGCAAGTCGAGCAGGAATGAGGAGTCCTTCAAAGTGGAGTCGCTTAAAGACTTGATCGATGTGGTCTTGCCACTGGCCTGCACCTTGTTGTTGGCCCATGAGACCAGGTCTGCTTCGGTAATATCCTTTCCGTCCTTGCCCTTTAGATTGACCTTCTTGAGTACACTGTAGCGCATCATTTGCCAGACGAATGATAGAAGATACTTCTTGTTGCAATTGACAAAGTCGGAGCCGGAAATGCCCACCAGGATGAACTTGAGTTGCTTGCCGAGCTTGACGACATAGTTGCAGTTCTCAGTCATTGTGAACATGTTTGAAGGGTGCATGTTGACGGACTTCCAGTTGACAAGGCCTGGCGAGACCTGGTCCAACGCGCGCAGCAGTAGTAGGCCATCACGGAAGTCATCCAGACTTGATGTTGAGATGTCAAGAGTTTTCAGCCATTGTTTGGCGGCCTTCTCCTCGCTCGATGGTGCAATGTCTGGAGAAGTGATTGACTCCATTGGCTGGTCCTTTGGTAAGCTCAGTCCGGACTTCTTATCAAACAGCTGTGCAAGGAATAGTATTATACAATGTTGGTCGTTCCTTCTAATGTCTGCCTGAGTGACTATCGTACATCCAAGAGTCTTGCAATACTCCAGCATAGACTCCAATGTCTTGGTACTAGAGCTACTGTAATCTGGATACAACTGACTGAGCAATGTTGTGAAGATGTTCTCATCACTTGTGAACTCCTTGGATATTGGTGATTGGCCACCGCCAGCCAACTTGATAAAGTGGTTGACCCAACGCTTGATGAAGAGATGTGGCTCTAGTGTGATGAAGTTGTCCCAGCTCTCATCAGACTGGTCGCTATCCTTGTTGTTTCCTTTCCACAAAGCAGCCAACTCTGGATGATGTAGTAGTGATACTCGTTGAAGGAAGCCAATGTACAGTATCTCAAACAATAGTTTGAATAAGTTGTCATTGTTGCTGGACACCAAATCACTTCCATTGAAGTTGTTATAGCCTCCAAACACCTTGACCGAGTTCAATACCAATGCCAAGTTCTCATCCATATCGCTTGGTGAACATGGCTGTTGATGTAATGCTCTCGAATCGATACAATCATTTATAAAGTGATTGATCACATTGCTTTCGATTGATAAGTGTTAGTCAATGAGCGAACTAATGATCTGTTGATTGATTGAGACATACCAGAATACATGACCATCCCTGAGTTTGTCGGAAACACACTGGCGACATTGGAGTGAGAGTATGAGGTGGCCGGGAAGGAACTGGTTGATGTAGGCAATCATCTCGTACTCTTTGTTGATGAGTGATCCGATCGTGCAACGATGCGGCGCTCCCGTATCAACGACGGAGCCAACCGAGGCAAGAGTAGCCTCCAACTTCTTCTTCTCAAGCTGGATCAACTCTTGCTCCTTCTCCAGTTTCTTTTGTTCCTCTTGTTGTTGTCGGAACAGTGCGGCCTCCTTCTCCATGATGAGACTATGGCTCTTTTTGAGCTCGTTGCGCTCGACCTCTGTTGATGATCTCAGGCTTTGGTTGGACTTTCTCAGATCATCCAGCTCGCGTCTGAGCGCGTCTATCTCATCACGCAGAGAGCTGCATGTGTCACACTCGGCTGGAGGTTGATTCTTGATCTGATCCACATGTGCGCGCATCTCTTCCACTTGCTTCTTGTGTAGTTGTAACATGTTCACCAGGTCATTGTAGTCCTTCTCCTGTGTCTTGTGCACGTCGTCCATGCCCTTGATCTTCTCCAAGTGTTGCGCGCACTCCAGGCACTCGCGCTGCGACATTCTAATGAGCTCATCTTCATGTTCTTTGTTCACTCGCTCCAGGTTTGATTGATGCTCCACACACTCTAGACATGTCTTGGGCTTCCTCTGTTCGGCCAGTTCTCGTGCAATGTTGTCAAGTTCGATCTTGGCTTCCTCTCCCTTCTTTAGCTGTGCCTCCAACTCCAACTGCTTCCTGTTATAGTTCTCGTTCATCTCGTGCAGTTCATTCTCCAGCTTGGCAATATCCTCTTGCAGCGACGTCACTATCTTGTCCTTGTCGTCCAACTTTGATAAGAGTACATTGGCATTGTCCAACAGGTTCTTGATCTTGGCGTCCACCTCTGAGTCCTTGGATTGGAGTTGCTCGAGGTCACGTGACAACTCCTCAATCTTCTTGTTGAGCGACTCTATGATCTCATTATGATCACGCTTGAGCAGTGCGATGTTGTCATCATTCTGGAGTCTCAACTCGGCCAGCTCATCACGCATTCTTGACAACGTCTCGGTCATCTCGTTGATGGTATTATCGCGCTGGGCCAGGGCAGTCTTGAGACTGGCAGCCTCAGCTATCTGTTGAGCCAGGTCCTCATCATTCGCCGAGCAAGCGTTATGAACCAACTCCAATGCTTGGTACTTCTCCTCCAATGCCTTGATGCGAGTGGATAGCTCTGCGATCTCCCTCTCCTTCTGTGATTGATCATCCTTTGCATGTGCCAGGTCGCTCTCAGCCTGTTGTAGACGATCCTGGAGTGCCACGAACTCGGCCACATCCACACTCGATGATTTATGGACTGCCAACTCCTTGCCCATATCGTCCAACTCCTTCTTGAGGTCTGCAATTATCTGGTCTCGGTCGGCCAGTGTCTTGGACATGTCCAATGTCTTTTGCTTCATAATCTTGTCGGCATCCTCTAGCTTGGCGATGTTGAGCCTGGCCTCCTCCAAGTCATTGGACATTCGGGCTATATCCTGGTCCTTGTTCGCGACCTGTGCCTCCAATGCTGCCACACTTTGTTTGAGAATAACATTGTCTTGCTCGGCAGCGGAGTGCTTGGCTGTGATCTCTGCTAGCTGGCCCATCAGTTGTTCAATGCGGTTGTCCTTCTGTTTGAGCTCAAACTGCTGGCCATCCTGGCTACTCATCAGCTGGGCATAGCGCATGGCCAACTCCATGTACTTGGAGTTGAGATCTCGCAGTGTAGCCTCTGCCGCTGGGTCAGCAGCACGCTCAACCATAACAGGCTCAGTCGGCTTCTGCTTTGATTGTTGCTCCTGTAGCAGACGGTATTCGCTCTCCACCTGCTTGAGCTGAGCCTCCAGTTGGTTGTGTCTGCGCTCGGCCTCCTCTTGCAGGGCACTGATGGCCACTTGCTTGGCGGCCTGCTCGGCTTGAAGTGACTTGATTGAATCGTCCCTCTCTGTCTGGAGTTGTGCACAACTCTGTTGTAGAGTCTTGATCTCATTCTGCAGCAGCTCGGTGCGTTGCTGTAACTCTTCGATCAGGTTGCTGTTGGACAACGACTCCATCTCCAACTTTGTATTGAGCTTGGTATTAGTCTGTAGCTTCTCCGTCAGCTCCTTGATATCTTCCTGCAACTCCAACATCGATGTATTATTCCTTGTGAGTTGATCATTGACATCTTGATGTCTCTTGCCAATATATATTGCGATCAACTATGTTTGATTGATTGATTGATTGAATGAGTAAGTGATTGGAATGGTTCCATTGATTGATTGAGTGTTTGGAACTTACTAGGAGTATGGAACTACGCGATAGGTTCTGTGCGGATATCTCGATCTGCTTGGCCAACTGACTCTCGACCTCATCGATGTTGTGATCGGAGGAGTCGTCCGCCAACTGGATGTCACTCTCCTCCAAGAAGCTGGAACTCATATCATCCTTCTCACGAAGCTGAGACAACAACTGTTTGACAACATGATTGTTGTGATCGTGATCATCCAATCTAATCTGGTCCAATGCATCCTTTGACTCCTTGATCAACTTCATCTCCTGGGCATGATCATACCTCTCCTGACTCGTAGCGCACGCCAATATATTCTCCAACGTCACCTCAAAGTTATCCTTGAACATATTATACTCATCAATGATTGACTTCCTCGTGGCGATCTATGTCCACATCATGAGCGGGATGTTAGTCCTGGACACTCTGGCTGTGAGGGGATGGTTACTTACATCCTTGGCCAAACCAATCAAAGAGTTATTCTTGACGGAGAGGAAGTGATACTTCTCTTTGATGTGCTCTAACTCCTTCATGTCGCTCTCGTATTCGGTGAGCTTGGACTCGATGGACTCGTTGCGCTCGACCAGGGACTCATTCTCACACTTGAGTTTGATGATAGACTTCTCCATGCTTATCTCCTTGCTGCTCAGATCTTCAATCTCCTGGTGCAACTCATCAACATTGACATCTGCATTCTTCTTTGATGACTTACTACTCTTACTATACTTCTGTCTAATACTATTCATCTCTGTGTTGTTATCATTCATCTTCTCGACCAACATCTCATTGACCAATGTAGCCTCCTTGATATTAGACTTTAGTGTCTCATTTTGCTGCAAGTTGATTGATTGAGTGATCTAGTGAGTGATGGAATGATCCCTGACCTCCCTGACCTCCCTCCCTAGCCACATACCTTCTTGATGATGTCAGATTGAATCTTCTCATCATGATACCTCCTCTCATAGTCGAATAGTTGTGAGACTTGGTACTCGAGCTCGTTGTTCTTGTCGAGTAGCATCTTGCCAATCTCTGCGGCAAGTTGCACATCTTTCTCCCTCTCTTCCAACTCTTTGGAGATCTGCTCGAGTGTGGCGAATAGGTTGAGTGGCTGACCAGGGGAGCCCGGCGAGCCCACCGCCATGGAATTGGAGCGCTGACGGGTCTTGGAACCGAGTGTCTGGGGCGAACCTATCCAACCCAACTGCTGGATCTTCTCCTTGAAGTGGCTGACCATCTCCAGTGGCGGTGACTTGTGACTGAATGCTCCACGGGCATTTACCGAGGGCATTGGAGGTGAATGAGAATGTTTGGCAATTGATATTGGACTCATTCCATTTATACTTCCACCTCCACCAACTCCGCCACTACTATTATTATTAATACTCTCCATCTTTGGTGAAGTTGACATTGCAGTTGCCACAGTTGGTAATGGTTGTTGTTGTTGCAACTGTTGTTGTAGTAACTGCTGCTTCTTCTTTGATTTACTTGATATCATTATTAAAGTTTGTTTGGTTTGTTGTTGGTTGGTACTCTTTATTAGATCTCTTGATATTACAGGAACCTCAACTCTAAGTTCCAAGTGTATTGGTATGTGTATAAGATATCAGATGAGTCACTGAAGGCTACTAAAGTTAAAAGTTGAACCAATAAACTAATCTCTAAGTATTATTATGTATGTATGATGAAGATGAACTGTAGTAGTAGTAGTTGCACCATCCATTCATTCAATCAATCAATCAATGATTAAACAATGCATACTTAGCAACCTGTCCTGATCATCTAGCTATCATGACATTGATGTTGATGTTGATGATGTTGATGTGTTATAGAGGGTAACACACAACCCCCCACCTTTGATGTTGTTGTTCGTTAAGTTGTCCTTTCAAACATACACACACACTCTCTATCTCTACCTCTAAACAAACAATAAAACAACACCAACAACAACAACAATACACACAACAGAACCTAAAACAATCCATTTCCATTCACCCAATCAAACTGTCATCATCTGTTCCATTTGTTAAAGTTAACTTCAAAGCTAACAATGTCCTGTTATATGATCTTAGAGGTATTCAACATCTTTCTACCTTATTGTTGTTGGAAAGTATGAGTATGAGTATTAAAATGTAAGAGGTGTAGAAGTACTTGATCAATGATCCAGAGAGTTCTTAATAAAGTTGGAATTCTTTATGGTTTTGTCATGAAGACATGAATGACCAACAAACAAGAATGATTATCTATTTACTTCTTTCTTTAATGATTGGTTGATTGAATGATAATATATTAATGCTCAAGAACACTCACTCATGCTCCATTCATCCATCCATCAATCAAATCAAGTAGCACATGATGTAATGTGGTAACTCTACCAAGATGTATTCAAACATATTGCTCTAGCAACACTCACACTCCCACTCACACCCTCTCTGGAGATGAAGCTGAGCTGACGGAGCACATGATGGGATAGTGAATGAATATTAATGATAGATGGATGGATGAGTGAATGAGTGATTGTATGAGTGCACACAATCACTACTACCTCCACTCCACTCAGCTCCACTCAACTCCACTCAACCCAACTCAGCTCCACTCACTCTTACTTAAGAGTCATCATTAATTAATTTGAATGAACGTAATATAACAGAGAGTTGTAGAAGTAGCAAGGACAGGTCTCAAGATCAAGATAACTATAGTCTTTCAATCAATCACAACTCTCAGACCACAACGACGACGACAAAGTCAAATACGCGACGACAAATAAGACCACGACGACGACGACGACGAAGACCAGTCGATTGGGCAAACACCACTGGCAACAACATCAATCCCACACGACTGGCGGCAACAACAGTCCTAGCACATAACTGACCTCTCTTGTGCGTGGCGTCCACAAATCAAACACAACTGCACATCACAATGATACTGGTGTTTCGATATCTGTTGCTATTCCTGCTGCTCTACAACATAACCATTGTGAGCGCAAGGTTGCGACATCATCGATCCGTGTACATGTCACCAAACGGCTACGACTATGAGGGGTGTGGCAAGGCGCGAGACTCACCCTGCTTCTCATGGGAAGTGGTGTCCATCATGTACGGCACGCCGATGCACCCCGGCGTCGATCAACTCGAGTTGCTGATGGAGCCAGGCGACTACAACTACACGTCTTACTTCCGCGCCGACTTTGGCTATTTCATTTCAATGTTCATCCGACCCCTGCCCAGCTTGAACGGCGGTGACAACCGCATCGTCATCAGGTACGAAAGGGAGCTACTCAATATTACCAATGTGGCACTATTCCAGATGTACAATATAACGTTTCTTGGCAGAAATATGGTGGCCCGGCACAATGAACCATCACCGGATGGTCCGCTGGGCAGTCCACCGGCGGGCGAGAATAGCCCCGACCCAAGCGAAGACCCCAGCAACCTGTTCCCAAGCGGGGAAGATGGACCCTATCCTTACAGCAACTACCATCTCACCGACCAACTCTACAGCGTGGACATCAGGTTAGAGAACAGCATCGCCCTATTCAGAGGCATCATCTTTCAAACAAAGTCATACGGCAACAACCTCTTGCTGATACATACATGTAAGTGATGTGATCACTTCATTCATTCCAGGAACTATCTCACTCAAACTCTATCTATCAATCAATCATACTTAGCCAACCTTATAATGGATCGATGCTCATTCTTGAACAATCAGGGCAACTTCTTGGTGACGGCGGACAAGTCATATTTGACAATATTTAGGTCTAACTTTATTAGTAACCTCGCCGAAGCATTGGTCAATTCAAACAACTCTATTATAGCAATATCGCGTAGCCATGTAATTTACAACCGAGTCAATACAGGCTTTGCATTGGACATGTCAACAACATTCGCCGTGGGCTACTGTCGCTTCACCAAGAATATATCAAAGCTTGGACTATTCTTTGGACTCAAGGTCACCATGTCCGTGGAGCGAACAATATTCTCGGACAACTGGTCCGACGTATCCACAGCCATTTCAATATTATCAGAGTACAGTAGTTCATTGTAAGTTGATCGATCAATCATTCCATCAATCAATCAATCACATCAACTGACATGTCATCCATTCATTAGTTATGAAGTATGTATCTTTGAGAATAATTATGGCACTGGCAATTCATTGTTTGGAACATCAGCTCAGGTTACATTGTTGCAACATTGTTGGATAAGGAATTCACCAAAGTTATCAATCCTCATATCGATCTATGGCAATGGCGCCGCACTATTCTACGATTGCGCCTTCACCAACATCAGTGGCATCCTCATCTCATCCGACTCGACCACTCTAATAGTACTATTTGAATGCAAGTTCACATGTAAGTTGACCAGTTTGATCAAGTTGATTATCCATGCATGGACCATATCTCACACATATACTTTGGATCACTACACATAGATGTTGAAGGTAGAATATTGGAATCTTATGGCAAGGGCACGGTATTGATGGTGTCCACACTTGTGACGACATGTAGTTCATTCGATAACTTGATCACATTCTCAAATAGTATAAGAGCCTATATTTATGGAATTAGATTGTTTGGAGGATATGCATCGGCATTCATAAAGAACGACTTCCAATCCAATCTGATCATACATGAAGGATACTTCTATGGCACGACCGCCCTGACCAGTCTAATAGTATGCTACAAGAGCTATCATCTCAGATTACAATTCTGTTACTTTGGACATCTCCAAGGAATATATGTACGTGTCCATCACTCAGGAACCATTCCACCCTGACCCTAACCCTTACCCTACCCTCATCTTAGAATGGAGCCTTGCTTGAGATTGATGGAACTGGATCACTTAGCGTATACGCGAGTAATATTGAGTACAACTTCTCACCTTATGGACCATTCATTTATGTGATCGATACAGATACTTTGTTGTTCAATCGTTGCCAGATGAACTTCTCAGTATGCACATTCCAATATAATCATGCTCAGACATCTGGTGCATTGATCTACTATGAGACGCGATCAGTCTGTCCATTCAGATGCTCCAACTGCTTCATTGCGGCCAACACCGCGCGATATGGCGACATCACCAACACCGACTATTACAACTTTAGTGTTTCGATGCCCACTCTTATCTCCACGCCACAGACCATCCAAGTGGTCATCATCGCCAATGATGCATTTGGCAATCGATTCAAAGGCAGGAACGACGTCACGTTCACCGTGTCCGAGTCGTGTCCCAATGTCAACCTCACGGGCATTCGACAGGTGCTACTCAATCGCGTTGGAATGCAACTCATGTACAATCTGGTGCTCAGCGGTCTCCCCGGTTCGACCTGCGACATCCAATTCTCCTCGATGCCGCCAGCCTTTAGCGGGCCTCTCTACCTGCGTGTGGGCTTCCGGCCCTGTCCTGCGGGCTCCAGCGAGTTCTTCTATCGCAACCAGACGCACTGTTTCAAGGTCGGTGGACTGAGCTTCGCGCCCTACCTCTCGCTGGTGCTCCTGCTTGGTCTCGAGGTGCTGGCCATCTTTGCATGTCTGGGGGTGGTGATGTGGAAACGCAAACATCGATTGATCGTGCACTCCAATCCAGTGTACTTGACCGTGGTGCTCATTGGATGTCTGGTGATGATCACCTCGATCATCTTGTTCAACTTTGTTTCCAAGGCCATCTGCATCTTTAGGATTGCACTACTTCCACTCGGACTATTCATCACATCAATCTCTGTCGTTGTCAAACAATGGAGGATATGGAGGATAAGGAAGCAAATGAGTTTCCAGAAGAAGAGAACGGTATGTATCCCCCATCTCCCAGCCATTGGTACTCTTCGTGCGAACATCTCAACACTTGACTGACGCCATTCATTCAAACAATCAAACAGATACGAACAAGCTACTTCTTCAAGTTCTTTGCAATCCTAATGATTATTCCAATTGTAAGATTGATTGATTGAAAGGATGATTGATCAATCACTAACATCCATCCTTCCATCCATCCATCAAACATTCATGCTCATAGATTATCATTTCACTTAATATTACATTATCACCGACTACACCCATCAACAGGGTATCATTCGCCAAAGGACAAGTCGACTTAGTATGTCCAGTTGGTATATCAATTCCATTCATTATCTCTAGTTTATCATATTTGGTAAGTATTGGTAATCATACAATCATTCAATCACTCAATCACTTAATCAATCAATCATTACAGGCGACATTATTATCACTTTCTTGTATCCTTGTTTTCAAGGCCAAGTACTTCCGGGCATCACCTGGTACATTCAACGAGCCAACCTTCCTTGGATGGCTGGTATGTATACTCTCAAACCATGTCAAGGATGTCAATCAATCACTAACTTTATTAATCATTCAATCAATCAAATATTATAGATATATAATTATCTTATTATTATTATTATATTGATTCCACTTCGATTCTCTTTCAAGAACGCCGATGCACAGTTTGTTGTAATCTCTTTGGCGGTCTTCTTCTATATTCTATGTACCATACTCCTACTCTTTGTACCCAAGTTCTACCTAATCTTTGGAAAGGAGCGTGCCTTGTCTTCTGTAAATATCATCCATCCACTCATCCATTCAATCAATCTATCAGTCATGTCCACTGACACTCAATCAATAACACAGATGAAGAAGTTCATTGAGGATCAAGAATTACAATTGGAACGTAATAAGGATGTATTGACATTTTATATGATGTATGGCAATCAAGAGGGTAACCTTAACTTTGCCAATCACGATATATTCTCGCCGGATCCACCAACACCGGATTCAATGTCGGATCGCGCCACACCTCCATCGCCCATCAACATCAGTCAAACAAGTGGTGGCGAAGGCATTCAATACGGCCTGCCCAATCCAAACAAGTACCGAACACCATCGCCAATGTCGACACCATCGGCACGATCTCCCCTGCGAGAGAGTGTCATCAACATCAACTCACCCAATGCCAACCCTGCCAACTCGACCGAACTCCTTGACAACAATAACAACAACAATAACAACAACAACAACAATATTATTGGCAGCGGCAACAACAGCAGCAGTGGTAGCAGTAGGAGCAGGAACAAGAGCAACAGGAACTCACCACCGATCGCATCATCCAGTGGTCATGGATCATTGGATAACTCTCGCAACAACATCAACATCAACAACAACAATAATAACAATAATAATAACAACAACAACAACATTGGAGGTGGACCATCATCTTCAACCTCATCATCAATACTCCACTCTCCAATCGATTCGCACGACCACACTACTGGTGGCTTTCAACAGCAACAACATCATCACTCCACCAAGAAGAAGTACCTGTCCAAGTCTGAGCCCAACTCGCCGCTGACCGAAGCCTTTGCGCATCAGAACGAGCTGGTGTGGGAGCAGGACAAAGAGCGTCGGAAGAAGAAGCCACGACCAAAGAAATAAAGTGACTATGATCCATGGTGCTTGCTAACTATATGTGTTCATTCATTCAATCCAATCCAATCCAATCCAATCATTCAAGCAGAGGTTGATTGCTGTTGCTTGGTCTGCTCCTCCTTCTCGCGCTTCAGGATGTTGCTAATGTAGAACTCGCCAGCCTTGTAAGATGAACGGACCAATGGACCTGATGCCACATACTTGAAGCCCTTCTCCTCAGCGATCTTTTGGAACTTGGCAAAGACCTCTGGTTCAACATACTCATGTACGCGCATATGCTTCTTCGTTGGTCTCATATACTGGCCCAACGTCAAGATATCGACATCAATCTTGCGGAGTTCTGTTCCATGAAGTAAGTTAGTTAGTGACACTGGACTGGATTGAGTGATTGAATGAGTTGACTGCACATACCATCCATGGCGTGGATGACTTCATCCTCGCGCTCACCACAACCAAGCATCATACTGGTCTTGGTGAGTAGGGTTGGCTTGACCTTCTTGGCATGGGCAAGTACGGCAAGTGATTGTCTAAACTTGGCACGTGGATCACGAACATAGCTTGAGAGTTCCTCAACTGTCTCGATGTTGTGGGCATATACCTCAAGTCCCGATGTGGCCACACGTTCAACACATTCCAGGTTGCCCTGGAAGTCACCTGTCAGGCATTCCACGAGGATCTTTGGTGACCTATGGCGAGTGTTAGTTGAGATAATGTCCGGCCAATGGATGATGGTACGACTTACTTCTGCTTCACTCTTCTGATTGTCTCGGCAAAGTGATCGGATCCACCATCGGCGAGATCATCACGGTCAACTGATGTTAGGACGACATAGTCCAATCCCCATCTGGAGATGGCCTCGGCAGTGTTCTCTGGCTCGTTGATATCCAATGGCTTGGGCTTCTTGCTTGTCTTGACCGAGCAGAAACGACATCCACGTGTACATTCGTCTCCCATCAACATGATGGTGGCAGTGGCAGTCTTGTGTTCACCGCCACCCCAACAATCAGAGATATTCGGACATCTAGCCTCCTCGCACACTGTATTCAACTTTAGTTCTCTAAGATTATTCTTGATACGCTTATAATCCTCTCCTGCTGGTATAGGTGTCTTGAGCCAATCTGGAAGTCTCTGTCTCCTGTGTTGTATCCGTGTACAATGTACATTGTGTCAGTGAGTGATTGATTGATGAATGAGCGAGTGACTTGGTGTGACTCAACTTGACTTACGGTGGTCTGCCTGTTGCCGCTGACTTTGCCTTCTCGACCACTGTCTCTTTGAGTTCGAGTGCCTCCTCCACGGTCAACTTTGCATCATCGCCACCAACAAAGTCTTGAAGACTTGGTCCACTTGCAAAGAGATCAGTATACTTTGTCTTCTTTGTTGTTGTTGATGTCTGTTGTGTTTGATTAATCACATCTATATTATTGCTATTATCATTATTGTTGTTGTTATTTATGTTGATATTTGTGTTGTTGTTGTTGTTTGAGTTGTTGTTGATGTTTGTGTGTGACACTCCACAACCACTGTAGTATCTCAAGAATGATGATGTTGGAGATGACCTAACCAACAACTGTCTTGTGAGTGGTAGTGATAACATTATTATCTGTTTGTATATCTATGATTGTTGTTTATCTGTGAATGTTTGGAAAGTTCAATTGATCAATCACAGATATATATCTGTATGTTTGAGAATGAATGTATGAATTATATTGATGGTCCCAACAATCATCATAATAGAGTGCCAAAACAAATAGATAAGAGTTATAGTTTTGTCGTTTTTATCAATTTTATTGGTTTTGTCGGGATTGATGATGGGGCTTTGTCGGTCGGGCGGTGTTTGTTGGGACCCAAACACTCAAACCCCCACAATATCATCACTCTTCTGATCAGTGTTTGTGTAACCAATATCAATATCAATGTCATCGTCAATGACAATGAATACACAAGTCATTCTTCCATTTCAATTTACAACTTATCATCATGATGAATGTTAGCAAATCATTGTTATACTTTAGAAATACTGTTAGGGCGTTGACAACTTCAACGTCAACACTGACATCAACTCCAACAACTCAACAATGTACAGCATCAACAAGTATGTCCAATCGACCAATTATACCATTATCATATATATACTTGGATAATCTACCTTATAAAAGATCATCAGAATTACAACAACTATTAGTTGAACGTCAACAAAGATTGAAGGCAGCACGTGAAGCATCAACAGCTGATGATGTCAATGTTACAATCTTAAATGAAGACTTGATGTTATTAGTTGAACATACACCAACATATACAAATGGTAGAAGAAATAAGGGAACGCTGGGTATCGATCAATCAACATTACTCGGTGCCGACTACTTTGAGTCCTCACGAGGAGGTGAGCTCACCTACCATGGTCCCGGACAACTCGTCGCTTATCCCATACTCGATCTAAGACAACAACAAGTATGTTACCCCATGGAATCATTCCACCCCCACTCACCCTGGAACTATTCCAATCACTCACCCACCACTCAATCACATTGAACTAATCCAATCCAATCCAATCCAATCAATCAAATAATGTAATAAGTTGACACTTAGATGTTATGTCTCTACACTTGAGAAGGCGATAATAGCCACTTGTGATCAGTTTGGAGTGAATGCAAAGACTACGGAGAATACTGGTGTTTGGGTCGATGATCAGAGAAAGATAGCGGCAATAGGTGTACAATATCAAAGATTTATAACATCACATGGATTGGCACTCAATTGCAACACGGACCTAAACTACTTCAAACAGATTGTTGCATGTGGCCTCAAGGACAAGGACACTACATCTCTGGCCAAGGTGTTGGGAGACCCTTCACTCAATGTACAAAGGGTCGTACCAGCATTCCTAACATCGTTTGGCAAAACATTCCATCGATCACTAGTACCTCTCGAGCAAACCAACCCTGACCTACACGAGGCCATCAACCATTTTGTCAAGACCGGTGTCGCGCAGCCCTTGCTCCAGGGTCCATCACGTCAATGATTCATCGATTGATTGATTCATTCATTAATTCACATATAGCTTAACATTGCTATCTCCTCTCGCGCACACTTCCATGTTCCGTGTTTCCGTGTTTCCACCCTTGCGCGCCTCAACAACCACATCTCGCGAAATAAAATGACAAGTTATAACTTCATCTTGTTCACTTGACGACTCCAACGACAGATACATGGAGATACTATATACACATTCACATAATGACCTGTCTAGGTATCTTCAATATCTCAACAGATTGTTACCATCATCAACATCAACATCATCTGTTGATGAATGGTCTGAGAGTATTAGTAGTGTAGTTAACGACATCATTGATAATGATAATATACATACAACTTCTCCCAAATCATTCTCTCCGAATGATCTTGATAGCTTATCAACTGAAGATGATGATGACGAAGACAACAACAACAACAAAAATGTACTTCAATCAATCAACAACAGATTACATGATGTAACACCGATCACAGATTCAAAGGTATCCATCACAAAGATACATAATGTCATAACAATACTTGAAGTGCTCAAGTCGATCTCTACACTCTTAAACAAACACAACGACACTCTCTTGTTGTCGATCAATGTATGTTGTGTCCTGTCCTGCCAGCTCATTGCGCTCTCAATCACTCATTCAATCAATCACATTATAGAACCAGAAACTTATTAAACTTGCAATGGATGTTGTTATTGGATGGGGAGTACTACCTTGTCTACAACGTGGCGTTGGACTGCCCCCTGTCAATAGACTTGCTTTGCCAAAAGGTAACACAGACACTCTCTCGCGATAGCGCCACTGGGCCGTGGCAACTTGAAGCCTCTCACTCACTCACAACAACACACACCAGACTCATGCAAGATGGACCAATCAGAGATGATGCTATACTCATGGGAGCGCAATGGTCAGACATTCATTGGCACATACCTCTTTGCAATCACAAAGGACATGTTGGGACTTCGCGCGACAAACCTCGACTTCAACGCCATTATAATCTCTAGATACCTACCCGATGTATTTAGTGCGTTGTTACAATTGATTAACGTGTCGCGACAATATTCATCATTGACAACCGATGACAAGCAGTACTGTGCACAACAGATTGATGTACTACTGTTTGGTGTGCATCCCGAGCTCATATTCGAATCATTGACGATGCTCCTGCAGGCGGCTGGCAGTGCTGTGGATGAGAGTGGCGCTCACGTGGCTGCGCCCGCCTGGCTGCCCAAATGTCTGTCTCTGATGCTGTCCAAGTGCTTGACGCGACCACATTCAATCGCCACATTGTTCAACACAGTGCTCCAGCCACAGCCTGGCAAAGACCTCAACAACTCGATGCGTAGTGTCGTCCGTCTAATCACTTCGACGCCATCTTCAAATCAGACGTCGTCCAATGTGGACGACTACTATTCAAAGATCTGTCCTCAACTCATTGCAATACTACATCGACGTAATGATCCAAAAAGTGGCATTGCCCACGAGAAGGTCATTGAGACCATAGTGCTCATCGTGGATACAATGTTACGAACTCATTCCAATGAGACATTCAAACATCTCATCGATCCAATCATTCAGCCACTCATTCAATTCAAGGTGTTCTCCAAGCGAACACCATCATCATCATCATCTGGCACGTCCATTGATGAGGGCATCATGATCAAAGAGGTGGATCTATTCCATTGCATTGAAGATCTTCATAAACTACTTTCTAGGCTCTCAACCAATCAATCATTGTTGGCATACTTGACACTGAGTGAGTACTTCTTGAACCATTCCAATCACTCAATCACTGACTCACCTCTCCCACTCTCCTCCAAGCCATTCCAACATTGTTCCAACTACATTGTTTCCTTTCCAAGTCGATATCATCACTGAAGACATCATGTAGCGAGATACTATCGACTTACTTCAAGTTCTACAACAACTCAATCATTCAATTGAAGAATCTGATAATTCCTCCATCAGACGCAGACGAGACTTCAAAGACAACATCTGACACATCATCAACAACATCAACATCATCATCTCAATCAGAGTCAAAGTCAGACAAATCATTATTGGAACTGGAGGATATCATGTTGGATGCGAATGATGAGGACGAGGAATTGGAATGTTTGTCATTCGCAATGGGCGGGAATGGTGGAGTGGTGGCCAAGTACATACCATACTTTGAAAGGGACTTCCAACGCGAAGCGGAATGCCTCGTACAAATGCTTCAACTGATGAAGAATGACAAGTTGGCTGGCGATCTCTTCATTGACCTACTTAACGAGTTTGCAATGGTGGAGCAAGGCGTCAAGAAGAGCTCATCCAAGCGCTACTTTGTCCTCATGCAGTTCATTGTGATCATCAGTGAGCAGCTGGGTGCGGCGGCCATCAAGAACGTCGTCCAGGTGTGCACGCTGGTTCGCGTCCTGCTTCAGAGGTCGCTGGAGAAGATGGCTAAACAGAAGGAGACAGAGGATGATGTGGAGACTATCACCATCGCCCTTGGTATCCTATCGACCCTGCTCATGGGTGATATCAAGGTCAAGAAAGAAGAGGAGCTACTGGTATTCGACATGTTGTCCATGATGGAGAAGTTAATAATGCATCCAAATGAAGTCGTCTCTGCGATGGCCACACAGATAACGACGATCATCACAACAAAGCAACCTACATGGCTGGAGCAAGAACCGTCTGATCATAATAGCTCATCGGTAGAGTTGGACGATGCTGCCACACTCAAAGAGATACTTGAGGACCTCTCACATCCGTTGTTGCCAGTGCGTGCACACGGACTGATTGAGCTCAGAAGGTTAGTTCTGCGGTCCAAGCACTCAACCCTAGTCCAACGTAATCTAGATAACATCATCGATGTCTTCAAGACCCAACTCAATGATGAAGACCCGTATGTTACTATCACATGTTCAAGTCCGATACATCTCACTAACTCCAATCATTAGATTTGTATATACATGTTCGATCAATGGACTAACAGCACTTGGAGACATATTTGGAGCAAAGATCATACCGATATTGACTGCTCAGTTCAATGATGTCAAGTTCAAGGAAGACAGGCGAATGAAGATTGGCGAGTCATTGGTACAGATATCCCAACGATGTGGTGACGCCTTACCTCAATATTGTATGTCACTCAATCAATCACACGGCTCACTCATTCAATCAATCAAACTAACAATCGCAATCACAACCACTAGCATCCAAACTATTCCATTCATTCTTCTTGGGTTGCAGGGATAATAGTGTTGGTGTTAGAGCCAGCAGCTTGTCCAACTTGGCCACATTGTGCGAGTTGCTAAAGTTCTCAATCGATCAGTATATGGTAGAGCTGTTTGGTTGTTTGGAGGGTATATTAAGAAGTGAGAAGGAGGTTGAAGTAAGACGTGGTGCAATATTCGTATTCCAACTATTGCTTAAAGGTATTGGAATGGAAGCATTCTCATTAATACCAGACCAACTTAAGAATATCTATCAAATACTCAAGTTCATCGAGTCCACTGACAAGGATATAGTATGTAAGCATCATGCTGTAATGGCACTTCAAGAACTGGATTCGATCACTAGGCAATTCATCTTCCCTACATAATAAAAATAAACACCAACAATCTACTTTCGGTCCTGTTCGGAACCTGTGAGCGCAATAGTTTGCCCACCCAATATTGTCACCAGGAGAGTTGTCTCAGCCCGCACTTCCTATTGTTCACCAAGATCGAGTGTGGTTGGTCCGATGATTTAATTGGCTGCAGCCTGATTGGCTGATGAAGATTCAATGATGTCAGTTGGATGAGGAGGATGCAGAACAAGCAAGCATTGTGTGAGATTGTGCTGAAACTCGAAACTGTCACAGAGATAGTTTTGGAAGCCGCGATAGGACTTCAGGTTGGAGGTGGCCTTTTTCTTGTCAGCATTGTAGGTCTTGGATTTCAATGTGATGGCATTTTGCTTATCCACTATCTGTGCATCGTTATGGATAGCATGGGCCACTTGTGTGAGATAGTCTTTTTCATCCAGTAGCAGTATCTGGTACTCGTCCTTCTGGGAGTCAGTTAGCTCATGCTGTCCACGAGAGTATATATTGCTGCTGGCGAGATTGGAGCTCCTGTTCTGTTGTGGTGATTCCAGAGTAGTAGATCCTGGAATAATATCCCTCATCTGCCTCAGGGCAAACACAGACAATCGAGATAGGGCCCTCTTTGGGATTGATGGCCCTGAGTCTTGTGACGACTCTAGAGATGGTTTGACTGGGCAATGCACTATGATCTCTGGAGACAGTGACTTGAAAAAGGATGCGAGGAGTATAGATGCTGTCGGCTGAGGCCAAAGAGGACGAAGTTGGTTGGTAGTAGGCATCTGACATTGTGATATCCCCAAAGCTCTTGTAGTCTGAGAACTTTTGTGTCACTCCACTGATGGTCAAAGTTGATTTGAGGCGAGTCTTCTTGTCAATGATATAATGTGTGCCTGGCTCAGATAGTTTGTTGTGTGCCCATATCTCGTAGAGTTGGCCCTACAGACTTGATTTGACGACGTCTGGTTGCTGAAGGAATTCGACAAGTGAGACCTTCAAACGAGAAACAGCCGATTTGAGCAAGCTGTTCTTGACGTATTCTGAAGCAAACTCCAGTCCATCAAGATCATAGTTGTCATCAACGCGATAGTGGATGAGTTTGTGCGACACCGTGAGTTCTTCCTTCAGAGGTGCATGCAGTATCTTAAGTGCGTCCACGCGTGACAATGCCTGATCCAATGTGTCTTGAGCAGTTTGTTGAAGGACATGGCGGACAATTCCTCCCCATATGAGGTATCGATTCTTGGCTTTTTCATCTGAGTGACCCATGAACTGTACCAATGATGAGATTTCCTCCCATGACCACTTGGGAAGATACTTGACCCAGACCTTGTTTAGGTTGTTCCCAATAATGTCACCAGGTTTCTTCCAGAACTCCTCGCATAAGTGTTTGGCGGCAGGAGAAGTGACTAGGATGGTGAAGCAAGGAATGGTTGGTTGTGGTGCAAACCCATCGACAAAGTAGAGCATAGATTCTCTTGAGAGGAGGTCCAGTGGAATGTCATTGATGGAGCGGTAGGTGAGTAGGATTGGCTTTCCATCTTTGTCATAGTGGAAGAAGAATATTGATCCATTGTAGTGGATGCTGTGGTAGATGACTGTATACTCTGTTGATAATGAGAATGTTAATGACCAGTTGGTTATTGATGTGACCTATGTCATGACCTACTCATGTCTTCTTGAGATAATGCCCAGAGCAGGTACGGAAAGAAGGTAGATTTCCCAATGCCAGCATCTCCACATATGTTGATACCAAAGTTATTGAGGTCTGACATTAAATCTTTGATCAGATCCACCATTCCTTCGTATGACTTTCTGACAAGGATACTCTGGACTTCCAACATCTTGGACGGCAAGCGCAACACAGTTACGTTGCCTGTTTGTTCGAGATTTGTTGATGAAAGGTTCTCCCAAAGCTGTTTGAAACCAAACTCTAAGGAACAAAGTCAGTAACCGCTCGAACACATCACTCGCTTGACGAGATCTCATTTGTACTTACGAGCTTGGCCACCACCTCCTGCAGCACCGGCTTGAGTGTGTATGTTAGTTAAGGGATATTCCTAATATTGAATGAAGATATTGCGCAAATGTTTATTGTACTTACAGGCTGGGGCTGGTATAACTACTACCACACCGAGTGATCATGAACATTCCTTGGTAACTCTGTCAAAAGAGTTTGATTCGATTCTATGGGCTGAGGCTCTTGGTTGATCGCTGTTCGTTGCAATGAAAAGGCGTTCAAGGCCAGTTGTTGCGCTTCTTGAATGTTGTTCTTGATCCATGTCCGTAAACCACTGATGTTGATGATAGGTGTGGTAGTTGGAATCTCGATTGCTTGGTTCGAGTCATTAACATAGACCCAAATATTGGAAGTCATCGTGAATGCTGTTGAGTTGGGATATGTAGAGTGAAGAGACGAGTAGTAACTGTTGTTGTTGTTGATGTGTGAATAAAGAATGAGAGATTCTTGTCTGTGCCTTGAGTAATTTGTAGAAGTTCAAGGATTTCACAACATACAATTAATATTCTTTTATAAGTTTTTTTTTTTGAGTTTGAATGTTGACAGTATTCTAATCTATTCATTTTTTTTTATTTATTTTATTTTTTGATTATTGTTCGATTCCCTCAAGTGGTAACCAGGCGACCCAAAAATAAATTATCTTTGATAAATCATTGAATATTACGATTTTTGCACAAAACCGAGGTAAAAAACGAGTTGATCATCAAAAAGGTGCCGTAGCTCAGTGGTAGAGTAGAGGATTGCAAATCCTTTGGTCGACGGTTCAATCCCGCCCGGTACCTTCTTTTTTAAATTTACAATATTTTTTTAATAATTACTAGGTTACTCATGTACTTCACGAGTCACATCCTGGCCGGACGACCAGTCAACATCAAGAATGAGATGGCCGAGTTCACTACCAAGTGGCACCTCAGCACTCGCAACAGCGACATCCGTCTTCCGCCTCTGCCGCCAACTATCAACAAATACTTGGTGGCCGAATTCAGAGGCCTACAGTAGAAAAGAAAAGAAAGAAAAAAATCAAGAAAATTCAAAATCGACTAACTTATATATATTATCCCGCCTCTTCAATGACGCCAATTTATTTGCAATAATAATAAACTTCCACTCTAGTCAAAAAAAAAAAAAAAAATCATGTACTCTCCCATACTCTCCCGATCAATCATATGAGAGCAGACGCTGACTGCACTCTCTGTGGCAACTCCAGCACAGACCAACCCTACAATGACTTCTTCTTTGACTGCAGCAAAGTGGCGACCCAAGAAGCCATGCGCCCAGCCTTAGACTTGGTGAAGCAACGCTCTGGTATCAACGTCAGAGAATGGAACATCAAATCACTGGACATCTCCACGAAGTCTCGTCGCCCCAACCTTCATTCATCACCTCATGGCATCATTGTCAACTACCTCTGCACTAATCGCCAACCACTCTTTGGCAA